AGCTGGCTTTCTCCAAGCAACCTTGCGAGGTAGAGACTACTATCATTCCCACCTTATGGAGAGAAAACTGGGCCCTAGAAAGGGGAGGTCACATGTCCAAGGTCTGTCTAGCTGTAGGTCAGTCAGCATAATACCTCTAGTATAAGGGGCCGTGGAGAAGTGTTTATGAAGTGTCTCCTGGGGGCAGGCTCATCTCCATGGCTGCTCCTGTCCTGTCTTTTCACGGCTTGCCCATTTGGAAGCATCCACCTGTTGAATGTTTAAGTATTGATCCCCACATGTTATGACGTGCATAAATATTTGAATATTCAGCAGTCAGGCCTCGCTGTCCAAGAGCTGCCCCAGAGTGACTCGGGGACAGAATAATAAAATGAACTTATGTCCTGTTATCTCCCTCGAGGCTTATTGTGGTTTTTCAAGCAGTTACACACATTAATGCAGGGACTCCTTTTGCTAATGCGGGAATTTCTGGCATGGAGTGCGTGGTTAAGGTAATAGCATTTCCTCTGAAAACAAAAAACGGGCCGGGCGCGGTGGCTCACGCCTGTAATCCCAGCACTTTGGGAGGCCGAGGCAGGTGGATTACGAGGTCAAGAGATCGAGACCATCCTGGTCAACATGGTGAAACCCGGTCTCTACTAAAACTACAAAAAATTAGCTGGACATGGTGGCGCGTGCCTGTAATCCCAGCTACTCAGGAGGCTGAGACAGGGGAATTGCCTGAACCCAGGAGGCGGAGGCTGCGGTGAGCCGAGATCGCACCATTGCACTCCAGCCTGGGTAACAAGAGCAAAACTCTGTCTCCAAAAAAAAAAAAAAGAAAGAAAGAAAACAAAGGCCCGATTCCCTACAGGGGATTTTTTTTTTAGGTTGGAGGGGGGCTTCTCAGTGTTAGTACAATTTTGGAAAGCCTGAAAGATGGGATTCTTGGTTGTCATGGAGACAGAGTCTGCTGTGAGCAGCGGATGGGGTCCTGGACAGGGGGCCTGGACAAAGGGCAAGAGAGCAAAGTCGGATGGCAACAAGTCTGGGCGTCCTGACTACCAGATCGGGACTCTTCACACAGCGTCACCTGTGGCCTGATGAGAGGCTCTCTGGGGTGGCAGGAAAGCCCCCTGGCTGGATTCATGAGCTTCCGGGCCCAGAGCCCTGGCTTTGGTGGTGGCCAGGCCTAAACTGGGATCCAGCCTCTGCTCCTCTCCTACTGTGGTCTCTGGGCCAGGGACTCGTCCTCTCTGCACCTCTTTCCCCATGTATCCACCATTCCCTTGCAGCGAGTGCTTGAAAATGTAGCTAGGAGGCATGGGTTTTGTGGCTTTGCCAGCAGATAGCTAAGTGCCCTCAGGCAAGTCAGTGCCTCTCTCTGGGCCTCAGTTTACTTGCAAAAGCGTTCAACTAGCTAATATCTAAGGACCACTTGTAGTCTAATGGCCACGAGTCTATGATTCAGTGAACTCTCCCAAGTCGAGGAAGACAGAGGGCTATGATAATGACATTCACAATCATCATTTCCATCATCCATTGGGCACCTACTGTGCACTGGGAACCCTGCTGGGCACAAGGTCCTCCTCGCCTCACACCTACAGCGCAGCCTCCTAACAATCTTCTCCCTTTTAATCCATCCTGCATACATGGCCAGTGTCAGCTTTCTTAAACCCTGCCTGCTCCTTTGCTCCAGAACACTCAGTGGCTCCCCAGTGCCTCTCAAGGTCAAGACCCAACTCCTCAACGTGGCGAGTGAGCCTTCCATGCTCAAGTCCTTCCCTCTCTCAAGGACTCTATGTTGTCTCTTTGTCTAGTCCTCCCCATCCCTCGTACTCAGCAGGTGCTCAATAAATATTTGTTGAGTGAATGAACACATGGATAAAATGTTTCTCTAAATTAGGCTACTTAAACTTTAGTCATTTGCAAAGCAGCCACAAGAGTTTTGCAAAAATCTGCAAACCACGTCTATTTTTATTTACTTAAATATTTTCCTTTTTTAGATTAAATAAATGTATCTCAAAAGGAAACTTTACATCACGCTATAACTAGAAGACCAATATTACTTGCCAGAAATAGGTCTCCATTAAAATAAATACAAGGACAAATGAGCAAAGCATTCCATTCTAACTGGATGGTGTTGTCTACCAAAGCTGGCGGCCTCGCAGTTAAAACGGGATTAGTCAGTGCCTTGGAGAGGTGTTAAAGACTGAGCTAGCACCGACCTGAGATTTGCCCATTGACACAAATCACAAGGATGTTACAAGGGAGTGAATGGGAAGAGCTGTGTCACTCCAGGTTATTCCACTCCCCTGAAAATTGTCCTATCTACCTTCCGTGGTTGGCAGCCTACATTTTGGAAACCCCGATCTGCACAGCCACAGCCTCGGCTTAGGAGGTTTGCATATGAGCTCTCTGAAAGACTTTAACTCAGGCTTTTTGAAAGAGCACTGGAGGCCCCACATGCAACCACCTCAACGTCACAATATAGTGTCCCTATTTGAAGTCTCACTGCACCAGAGACAGCTCTCAGAGCTCTACTGTGATAAGAGTTTGTTAGAAACCATCTTCCTGATGGAACAATGAGCTCCCCATCCCTGCAGAGATGCGGACAGATGCTGGACAGTCATGGGTGTAGGCCAGGGGCAGGGAATGTCACAGAGATGATCCAGTCCTACTGTCGGCCTATGAAATTGACCTGACAGCTAGAGTTTACATAGGTAAACAAATCTAGAGGGATGAAAAGAGGGGAATTCATTTCCTGGTCAGCAATATAGAAAAAAGAGAGAGACAATTGTGAGTGGGGTTACCCAGAAAACATGAAGGACAAAAGGGGAATGAGAATGGCTATTACTTTTCCTTTTTATAATGCTTCATCATTCTCAATCCAACACTGGATTCATGAGGAATATTTTGGCTTTAAACAACATAAACCGAATTCACACTTGTAGGATAGGAAAAACAAATTAATGAGATAAATAGCTGACACCGCCTTCAGGTATGGCTGGATTCAGGGACTCGATCTACATCAGAATTCACTCCAGCCTCTGCCTCTCAGTTCTGCTTTCCTCTATGTTGGCTTCATTTCAGGTAGGATCTGCTCAAGTTCTACAGAGATGGCTGCCAACGTCTCTACACTTAGGAGCCTCGGTGGAGATTGAGCTTCTATTTGACGATAGTTTTAGCAAAAGTCCCAGGCAGAGTTCTATTGGCCCAGGAAATGTCACATGTCCCCTCATTGAGGTCAGAGTGACATGCTCTGATTGTCTGTGCCCTGGGTCACATGTCTATCTCCAGGAGCAGGGAACCCACCCAACCATATAAATATGAATGAAGGAGGGGAAGTTTCCCAAATGAAGATTGAGGTTCTGTCACCCAAAGAAGCTGAAACAAATGTCAGGCAAGCAACAGTGGCCTTCATTCTTGCTACCCTGGTATCTCCACTCAAGTCTATGCCCACATCTCCATCCAGACAGCTCCTATTCAGCCTTCAGACCGCTGTTCAAATGGCACTTCCTTGAGGAAACCTTCCCAAACCATCCCACGCTGCACTGGGATCCCCGGCATGTGTGCGCCTAGCAGAGGTTGTCATTCTGGGCTTGTGTGGTTGCTATTTGATGAAAGCCTGTCTCCCATACTTGACTGGGACCTCCTTAAGAGCTGTGGCCTGTCTTGCCCATCACTCTGTCCCTAGAGCCTAGGCCAGTGCCTGGCACACAGGAGGAGCTCAGTAAATATTTATTTGAAGTACCAATGGAGATCCACAGCACATATGACCTGGTGATCAGTGGTGGGAGGCGGATGGGTCAAGAAAGACACCAAGATTCCCTGCTCATGAATGAGAGTGTGGGGAGACAGGAGAAGTCAGGGTGACCTTGGAGAGCACTACCTTGGGGGACTTGGGGATGGATGAAAGCGGGGAGGAGGTAAGATTAGGTGGGGTGGAGGACAGGAGGTCCATCAGCAAAGGCCAGCCCTGGGGACACAGAGAGGAGGGAAAGAGTAGGTCAGGGCTGGAGAGAAGGAATCTTTTCTCTGAGTTTCTGGGGAGACCAGAGGGAAGGGCAGATGTGGCCCCCTTCCCAGGAGCCTTTATAAAAGAAGGTGGGGGGGTCAGGAGTTGGTAAGGACAAGTGAGGGAGTCCCTATGTGCTGGGTTGGGATTGGCTGGAAAGGGGAATTCACTGGGAGAATCCCTCGAACCTCAAGAACTGGGAGAAAGGTGTCTGGGGTTCCTGCCACCATCCCTGTTTTCCCTCTTAAGTAACCTGTTTCCCCATCTGTCCATCTGCACACACAGCCACTTGTGTCTCCATGACCAACCGCTGGCAGTGGACAGGGCATCCTTCCCACCCCCACTCTTACACACACTTCCAGCCTGGTACGCAGAGCCTGGTCACCCCAGACCAGGCCTGCGTTTCCAGGTGTAAGGAACAGGAGACGCCGCCCTAGGACGAGAGCAGGGAGGGGGCAGGGGCCCACCCCCACCCACAGCGACCCACAGAGGGCGGGAAGAGGACGAAGGCAGAGAGAAACAGAAAGGACAGGCTCACAGAAGCAGAGCGGCAAGGCTGGAAGGAGAATAGCCAGGAGGGGAGAGCATGCTGTGAAGGACAGAGAGACAGAGACCAAGGCGGACAGGCAGACAGGCTGATGACCCAGGCCGAGGCCGGGAAGAGCCGTCAAAGGAAGGAGAAGGAAAGAGAGAGGCAGGAGGGGGACGGCGGGGCAGGCAAGGGAAGGAGGGGGTGGGGAGAGGGAGGGAGGGAGGAAGAGAGAGGGGAGAAGGAGGGAGAAGAGAGCGGGAGAATGAGAAAGAAGGGAGAGGGGAGGCGTAGAAGGGGAGAGGAGGTGAAGGGAAAAGGGGAGAGGCTGCTGGCGGGGAAGCTGCAGGAGGCAGCTGCGGAGGGAGCGCGCGGCGCGGGCCGGGGTAGCGCTGGGCGGGGGCGGGCGGTGCGGGCAGGGCCCTCCCCCAGCTGGGCGGGTTCCGGGAGCCGCGGGCCCCGCCCTCCCCCTCCATTCCTCCGGTCTCGCTCCCCCCTCCTCTCCCTTCCCCGCGTCCCTCCGCCCGCCCTCGGAAGACCGAGAGAGCGGAGAGGTTGCGGGCGAGCTGCGCGGAGCCCAGGAGCCGAGGAGTCTGGAGCGCAGCGCAGCCCAAGCCCGAGCGGCCCCGCGTCCCGAGCGCACCGGAGCGGCCGAGCCGCCCCGCGCAGCTCCAGTCCCGGGGAGGGCAGCCCCGGCTGCAGGTAGGAACGGTCGGCCGGCGTCGGGGCGCGGGGCGCGGGGCGCAGAGCCTGGGACAACAGGGCAAGACCGGCCAGAGCTCCGAGCCGCCGCCGCTAGCCTGGCCGGGTGGGGGGCGGACACCTCGAGATTCAAGCGCCCGCGCGCCGCACCTCCCCTGGGGCCACATGAAGGAACAGGGGCGCCGCTGGGTCCCCGACGGGCGCTCAGGCCATCCATCCCCCGTGACACGCGAGAGGCAGGAAAGCTCGAACCGAACTGAGGGTCGCGAGAATTGCATGCCCCTTCCCTACCGCGGTGCCCCACTGGCCTCGCAAGTTGGTGCTGGATTCTGCAGGAGCCGTCGAAGCGCCCTATTCAGTCCCCAGGGGATGGAGGGGATGCGGAGTGAATGATACGAAGTGTGTTGGGGACCGTGCTCCACTTTCCCAGTCGTGGGGTCAGCTGAGCCGAGTTAGAGCTATGCCCCTCATTTGTTCTCTGCGGGCTATGGCGGGGTCCGGTGTGACTTGAAGATGGGACATCTCGTTTTCCATCCTGGGACGGCCCAAGCTCTCAGAAACATTAGCTTAAAATCACACCAGGGCTTGGGCTGTGCGCACGGAAGCTCGCGCCGCGCTCTCCCAGCCCCGACTTTTCCCGAGGGATGTGGGGTGCGGGAGGTCCCTTAGAGAGCTGGAGGACTGTGCCTCCTCGCTGCTGCGGTAGCTGCGCTCACTTGATTGCTTTTCGTCTCTGCGTTTACTCCCCGGGGCGACACTGCTCGGGACAGTAGCCCCGGGCAGTGCCCATTGGGTTCTGAGCACACATCCCCACGGGTCGCACCCACAGATGTCCTGTTCTACGCTTGGCTCTGTCCTCCGACAAGAAACTCAGACCGGGCAGTCCCCTGTTGAGACTCTGAGCTAATATCCTCCCAAAGTAGACGTGAACCTCAAGGAGAAAATTGGATTTTTTAAAAGCCAAATGATAACGCCACATTCCTTCCCTTTGTGGGACTGGAGTGCACATTCCCTTTCCCAGGAAGCTTAGCCTTATCCCCATGAAGATAAGGAAGGGGGGAGAGTTGGGAGAGGGAGGGAATAAAATGGCTCCTGAGCTTTTGTGACATCCCAAAAATCATAGATCATGTCAGACTGAGTTGCATTGGGGGTCTACCTTTGTTTTTCTGTGACACACAAGGTGGGTGTTTGGCAAGAGAGTGGGGATGTTGGGTGCTGGATAGTGCCTGGATTCTGTGTCTTTGGGAACTTTGGGGGGAAGTGTCCTCCTAGGGGAGCCTAAAAAGGCTACCCAAATCCCCCAAATTCCAAAACAAAAGAGGTCAGTGCAAACTACTGGCATCTTGCAGGTTACCTCTTTCTCTTTGGAGCACATTGGGAAGGACTGACCCAGCTCCAGATCCGGGTCTGGTCCAAGCAGGCACAGACCCTCCCCAAGGCAGAGAAGGGGAAAGTGAACTTGCCCTTAGAAGTGTGAGTCCCTGGGGGAGTCAGAGGGACCTTTTCCCAGAGCAGCCCTGGCAAAATGGCTGAGCCTCCCTTGAGCCTCAGAAATAAATTGTCAGGCAGGCAGCAAACAAAGAAAGAGCTCTGTCTCCAGCCAAGCGCTGGCTCAGTGGCCAGTCCTTGGAGGACAAACAGTGAGTCCCAGGCAGAGAGACATAGCCTGGCTTGCCTGGCAGAGCATCTGGAAAGTGGGGTTCCCTAGGAACACACAGGAGAGGGGCAGCCACTCTGGAAGTAAAATCAGGGACCCTCTGTCCTGATGGCGGGCCCTTTATTTTAGGGCTGGAGGCTTGATGAGAAGCGGCTCTCCAGGAACTTAGATGGTGCTGGGAAGGATGTCTCGAGACCAAGGAGTAGGTAGCTTAGAGGGTAAAGATGAGGCAAAATCAAGCCCACCAAGGCTGAAAGATGCACAGTGGCCACGTCTCTCCTGTCTGCCATGGATTTTACATGCCCGGTGAGCCCAGAGCAGCAGAGGCTATAAATTTGTTTACACGTGGCCCAGAACACAGCAGAACCTCAATAAATCTCTTAGAATAAAGCCTGCATGGATGGAAGGTGATGCTAGCGCTGGCATGGACGTACCTGCAGTCTCTACCTGTCTCACGGAACCAGGTAGCCTATAAAATGTGGCCCCTTAGTCCATAGCCAGGAATGAATGCGCCCCGGATGAGGGTGTGCTTTGAGCTGGGGCATTGCCATCTCTGGCCAGGTGACCTTGGGTACGTTCTCGTTCCTGTTGGAACCCAAAGCTTCTAATGTGCCAGGGCTTATCATTCCTACAAGAACCATGTGCAGCAGGCACTATTCTATTTCCCATTTCAGAGGCGATGAAACTGGATGCAGAGAGGGGAAGTGACTTGCCCAAGGTCACATAGCTAGGAGGAGGAAGGGCAGGGATCTCAACCCTACTGTTCTAATTTCCAAGCCAACTGTGTCCTACCGTGGGTCTCTGGGCCTCGGATTTTCCAACCGTAAAGTGCAGTGATCGGATGATAGTTCCCATGGGCCTGCCAATGAAGCAGTGACTGGTCCTCTACCTTGGTGGCATATGACATGCTGAGAGCACCATTAAATAAAGCACCAATCCAGGCCGCTTCTTACCAATGCACAAAGACGATTCCTTGGCTTGGCTGTGAGCTCAGCAGCTGAGATAGGGTTCCACGCTACTTGGAATTTGGAGATGTCTTACCCCCCGTCCCTTGCTTGTCTGTGAGTCGCAGGCAGTGTTCATGACAGTTGATTTAGCCTTGCCACCTCTAGCCGCCTGCATCCTGAAGTCCATCTCCTTTGTCCTTCAGATCCCATTAACGTTGCCTAGCCCAAAATGTGCCCACCTTCCCCTTGGCCACCACCCCACCCCAGCAGCCCCTCTCCTCAGCCACAGCCCCAATGCCAAACCCAGTTAGAGCTACTTCATCGCCTCTCAGCCCAAATGGAAACTAAAATGCAAGTATCAGCTGGCCTGTCTATGCCTGTGTCGGGACTGCCCCTTCCATTCAACCGTGCAATGTCACCTGAGCTTCTCTGTGCCTGGAGAATGGTGGGCAGAGTATAGCCCCGCTGGATGACAGCGACTTCAAATTGACTCCAGTTGCCAAGAGCATTTGGGTACTGTCCCCACAAGCTGAAAAGACCATCATGCATCCACTGCCCTGTGGCTTGGCGGGCCTCGGTACTGGCTTCCCAAATGGGTCCTGCACAGGTGGCTCTTCTTGCTAACTTTACCCTGTTCTCTGAAGGGCCCTGGGAGGTGGAGGGGAAGAGGTTGGCGTTGGAGAAAGGAAAGGTTGGGAGGCCAGATGTGCACTCCAAAATAGGACTTCCCAGGAAATGGGCCTCAGTGAGCATATGAACATCCAGCATCTCCATCTACTCCGTGCTCACCTAAGACCTCTGGGGTCAGGGGAAGGGGCTATGGCGTCAGTGGGAAGAGGGCCAGTAGCAGAGAGGAGAGTTGCCTGGCATAGGCAGTAGGTGTGAATGCTGTGATATTTCAGCAGACACCTGGAATTCAGTCATAAACAGAAAAGGAAAAAACACTAAATATTGTTCCAGTGGCAATTGTATCAAACACAGTAATAACTGTCAGTTACTGCGTGTTGGCAAATGCCAGGGAAGGTGTTGTGTGCCTTACTTATATCATTGCAGTTAATTTTCACAAAACCATGTGAGGTATGTAGCATAATGATCCCTGTAGGGGTGAGGAAACTGAGGCAGAGAGTGGCTAGGACACTTGCTGCAGGATCACTGGGCTAGTAAATAGCCTTGGAGCCCAAACTCAATCACAGCATGCTTAAATTCTTGCCACTGAAAAGCCCCTGACATTGCTTACTTGGCAATGACCATGACCACCCCAGCTGCCTCCACCCTAGTTAAGGAGCTGCACAGTTTACAAAGCACTTCCTCATCCAGTCCATCTGTGGAGCTTTGCCACAGCTCTACGAGGCATGATAGCTTCTGTGTGATGACTGGGGAAGCTGACTTGCAGAGAGATGAATTTGTACCCAAGGTCCCTCAGCTGCTAGGCTACAGAACTGGGGTTCAAATTGAGAAGTCCAGCCTGTTAAAACCTATTTGGGACCTAGATTTGAAATTCATTTGCAGCTAGTGCTGATGTCATGCACTCAGCCATCTTTCCTTAACTCTCAGGTGTCTCCCAATTTTGTCCCCACCATCTTGCTGCTCAAGAAGCTATTGAGAGTGCCCTGACAAAGCCATCAGCTGCATTTACCGTGATCTGACATGACACAAAAGTGGCATCCGGTTCTATGCAAGATGCCTGCAGCGAATGGCCTTCTATTTTTACATTTCTCACAAATTGGAAATTACAAGGAGGCCAGGTCTTGCAGAGAGATTGGCTGTGGTGCTCTGAAAGCAGGGGATGTGCAGGTAGGTGGAACGGGCCATGTTAGGGTGGCAGGGGCCCTGTTGGCTGTGAAAGGGGCCCCCTGGCTGCTGGGGCTGGATGAGATCCTGGCACATAGACCAGGCTTGGGGATGCAGGAGTCAGTGGCTGCCTTGGAGGGTGACCTGCAGCTCTGCCCACCTGTCGGCTGCCTGTGAGATCTGTGTCTCACGCCAGCTCTTGAGATAACTGAGCCCTGGCTAGAGGGACATTCAAGGTCAAAGATGCCCTGAAACATCGACAGCAGGTTGCTTTCATGGATGTGTTGTTTGATAAGGAGGTTCTGTGCAGGGAGAGGCCAGCAGCCACAGGGAGGTGAGCAAAGACATTTTGTTGTAATTTGCTGTAACTCAGGGTTGATCGCAATACTCCCGGTCATCAGAACCTCACTTTGGACTTTGCTAAAAATGCTCTTGCAACTGCTCTTTCTTTTGATAGTGTATGAAGTATTCCAGGGGAAGAAAATATGGTCCTTGACATCCTGAAGAAGAATCCTCTATCCAATAAGGAGTGACTTTTCTTTTAAGCTAGTTTTCTCATAAAGCCCAAATCAGAATGACCTTGACCCAAATGAGGCTCCTCTGCA